AATGGGGATGTGGGTTGAGGGAAGTAGGGAAGCAGATCTCAGAATATGGGATGAAACGATGAGGGTTGAGGGATGTGGGATGAAGGACTGAGGGTTATGGGATGTAGGGTCAGGAAGGAAAGGAAGGTGGGAGGAATGATTGGAGAAATTAGGGTTGCAGACAGGTGGAACCTGATGACGGTCTGGTGTTGGCTGAAGGGAGGAGGGCGCAACTGAACCAGGTAAGTTGAGATAGAGTGGAGGAGTCATCTCTTTGCCTGCTCTACTATGAATAGAGCATGATGAATGGTGCATATGTGCGTTTCTGATATTGTTAAGATCATTGCGGATGCAGGTGAGGTACGCCCGAGAAGACCAGCAGCCAAGGATTTTAATTATATGGTCCGGGATTCCCTGCCTGGAAATGGTGGAGGTGGCCGTGATACCAAAGGAAAGTCCTGAGTATAGCTCGGAGAGTGTTCCAGATCTGGTACGAATTTGGCGAAAGTGTTGGGTGAAACCAGAAGTGGGTGTGAACTTGGCCTGTCTCTGAGACAAACAGAGGGTCTTAAGGAGAAGTTTTGCTGGCTAGTCTTGAGTTTAAGTAGTCATGAATGGGTTCATGGATTCATATAGTTCTGCGTTGACACCGTAGCTACGGCGTAGGCTCCACGTCGACGTAGAGCCTACGCCGTAACCTACGCCATAGCGTGACTTCGCCATAGCCTGTGGAGTAGTATTCACCCCTCCAGAGGATGCCAAAAACCACTTGTAATGTTGGCCTTGGATAACCAGGGTCCTTGGCCTGCGAGGTGTATGAGGGAGATGGCATGGTTGATTTATTTATACTGCATGGAAAAGTCTGGGCTGAGTATAAGGCTATTGATGCTGGGGACAGTGGAGCTGTGGGGAGATCTATACTGAGTCTCTTTTTTCCTGAATATTTCCTGGTAGCTATGCCTATTGGACTGATTCTGAATGTGGGGAAAGGTGGGGTAGAACATGGTTTGATCATGAATGCTTCTTCAACCTCTTTGTCTAATAGTTTATCCACTGTGTCGGGCTCAGAGATAGCTGATAACAAATTGTGGCATGTGTAGGATGATTCTGGCATTATCTGCAAACCTGGGTGGAAGCTGTGTGTGAAACCTTGGGTGAGAAAGCTGATGAACTAGTTGTCTGGGTGTTCTTTTAAGGCAGTAGCAAGAGCATTGATGTGATAGGCTGTGCAAGGTTTGATGAGGAACAAGTTGTTCTGGCATGGGCTCCGCAGAAGGAGTGGAGGTGTGGAGGAATCAACAACTTGAATCATTGCATTCAAGATCGTTGAAGTTATTACAGACCATCCTTCCATTCTGGTACAGGACTGGTCTTCCTCTTTTCTTTTATCCACGCCTTTGGGGATGGGGCCGGGGGTGGTTGGCAGGATGTTGACAGGTTTAGGGGTGATGGGTGGTGCGGGGCTGCGGAGGGTACGCTCCTAAGAATGGCAGAGCTTTCTTTATTTAGGGCTGAGGTGCAGGCTAGAGAGGCTGTGAGGGTGCATGCTGAGGCTAGATGGGATGGCACACCACACAGGTTGCAGCACAAGGAGGGACGAGAGGCGAAAGCACAATAATACAGTTCAGGATCTAGTGTTTCCTGGAATGTGCTTTAATTAAATTGTTGGAGGTGACCATCAGCTAGGGATGCAAAAACAATGTGGTAAGTGTAGAATCCACTGCCACCAAACCACAAACTCAGATGAAGAGTCAGAGACAAGTAGTCATCCAGCTCTGACCCTGAAGGCCGAGCTTCCTCGGCATTGGTGGACTGCATTGTGACATCATCGGCGTGGCTGCGGGCACAACGCTGGGAGCCTAGAAGTGGTCTTGGAGTTTGGAGAGCCAGAGTGGCATTTTGCTGGGTGTATATGAGCAGCTTGAATAGTTTGGCTTTCTCGTCGGGGTGGTGGAAAGTGATATTTTGCTCAATGAGGGTGTGCTTTAAGCAAGCGACTGTTCATTTGGATATGTTTGAGTCCAGGTTGGAGTGGTGGCGTGGTGAATACTACTCATGGTGGTATCTCCTGTCATATGAACGCCTGGACCACAAGCATGTAAGCGAGAGGCGTCTGAAGGGGACGACGTCCCTAGGATGCCAAGTACCTGATGGTGAGCTGCTGGAAGGCGAGGGACCAACGACATTGAAGTTGTGGTAGGATGAATGCTGAAGCATCAGGGAATGTGAATGTCCGTGCACAACCAGGGTTGCTGGCAGCACTGAATGGATGGAGCAGATGGAGAGAACTCAGGGACTTCAGGAGACTGCGGATCTTCGTCAAACAGATCGCTAGCAGAGGGACTGAGAGTGAGTTCTAGGTGCAGCTTTCTTCGCCACAGCACCTGTGCAAACGTGTCCAACCCCAGCGGAAATCTTCTTGTGGTGCCAGGCAATAACCATAGCAGGCCGTGAATGTTGCGTCAGCCGGTGACAGATCCACTTCCGCCTTCCCGAACCGAGTTCAGATTTCCCTTACCACCTGTGGGTACAGCCTCCACTCATCTGGTAAGGGGACAGCCCTTCAACATGAGGTCGGCACCCCTGTTTTCCAGTCCCGGAACGTGAAGAGCCTTTACAGTCAAATGGCCTCTGCAGCCCACAACCACAGGCTTTCCACAATCCACAACAGGACGGCAGACCGAACTCCACCTTGCCTGTTGATGTAAACCACGGTGGTGGGATTCTTGGACTTCACTAACACGTGTTTCCCCTGTGTTAGGGGCCTAAAGTGTTGGAGCATGTTGTCAGACCTCAGTCAGAGGCCACATACCATCTTCTGCTCTATGCCAGACAGCAGTGTATAAATGCATGCTCCTGACTGAAGGAGTATTACCCGTAGAGTCTAGTAGAGGGCGAAGCCTGTGTGGGGGATAGAACTGATCACTCCTGGTCAGGTTGCCTGGAAGAAGTTATCTGAAGTTGAAAGATCCGAAACACCCATTGATCCCAAGTACTATCACTGAAGATGTGTCCGAATGCATCATTAGGTGTACGTAACTAACATTTCATACATTTTTCAATGTCAGACTTTTTTTGAGCAATGTTGTGTTCCCAGATCTAAGCAATTAACTTGGCAAGTGCAATTTCAACATTACCCAAAGGAATGATGGCCAAAACTACAAAAGTGAAGTTCCAATAAGTTGGTATTTACATTCGTCTTTACTATCAAATGCATAAAAGTTACCCTCCATAAAACTTTTTCCCAATGCCAAACACTCATTAAAAGTTTCAGATCTCACATTGATATGCAATTGTTCTGCATCACCACTGACATCACTCTGTAACTGTTTTTTTCTTTCCACTACATATTAACTACGAGAAACTGTATTTTAGTTATTTCTCTTCAACCACCACTGCTTGAATTCCCAGTGTGGATTGTATCATCAGAGAGAGGTAATTTAAAGAGAATAACCAACAGTGGTACAGTCAGAGACACTCGGTACAGGATGTTTACTGCACCAGCAACCCAGGAACAGTACGTAAGAGATGCCTCTTAGATATTGTTTTTTATAATATATATATATATATATATATAGATATATATATATTTACAATAATCTGCACATGTTGAGGTATGAATTATTACTAGATCTAAATAACTGAAATTGTGCCAGCTGACATAGTTTAATGGATAATGCCTCTGTAGTAACATTTTTTAGGCTTTCAGGATTAAATTACACAGTACAACATAGAATAATTCTCTTTGTTCTCACTTTACTGTGTTACTCAGTTATTTGGATAGTAAATGTTGTTGTGATTATAACCATCACTGTGGACCGAAAACTTCACGAGCCTATGTATATTTTCCTGTGCAATCTGTGTATCAGTGGACTTTATGGAACAGCAGGCTTTTACCCCAAATTCCTCATGGATCTTCTTTCTACCACTCATGTCATCTCTTATGCTGGATGTCTCCTGCAGAGTTTTGTGTTGCACTCATCTAGTGGAAGTGACTTATCAATTCTAGCTGTTATGGCCTATGACAGATATGTGGCTATATGTCATCCACTAATGTACCACTCTGTGATGACTACACAAAGAATATCTCTCTTAGTTGCCTTCTCTTGGCTTTTACCTCTTTTATGCATGTTCACTAACACAATGACAATTTTCCAGTCAAAGTTATGCAGCTCACACATACCTAAACTTTACTGTTCAAACTCACTAATTGATAAACTAGCTTGCTCTGCCTCCATAGCAAATACAAGCATTGCACATGTCAACATTGGTATTTATGTTGTCCATTTTTTCTTTCTTTTGTGGTCTTATATGTACCTGGTTAGAACATGTCTAACATCCCAACAGGGCAGGAAGAAGTTTATGCAAACATGCATTCCACATTTAGTCTCTTTAATCAGTTTTGCCTTTGCTGTGCTTTTTGATTTAATGTACACTCGATTTGGTTCGAGAATGTCATCACAGGGCCTTCAGAACTTCATGGCAATAAATGTTTTTTTAATTCCTCCAGTTTTGAATCCTCTGGTATATGGATTAACACTGACCAAAATTCGCAGTAGAGTTCTTGGTTTTATTCAAGAAAGGAAAGAAAATGTCGAGACAAAGTAATCAAGGATTAGCAATTTCAAGTTATTTCAGAATGTTCACATGGGATAAAAATAACTACAGTGTTTATTTCATATCATTATTCCCTTCAAATTCCTGTTCATGTCTGATTTGACTGTGTCTCTGAGTCATGTTATATACTTATACATACATGTCATAATGGCTAGTACTCCATAATCAAGATGTATTTTTCTTTTGTGTCCAGATTTTTTTCAAATTCATGTTTCAAAGTCTGTGCAACTTGATTGCAAGTACAACCTTAAGTATTTGTTTCATCCTTTGCTAGTTTCATTGAAAAGGTTTTTCTTAAAACAAAAACTGCCTCTTTTCTTTTTCTAACTCAACTAGAGTGCCCATGAAATTAAATGTTACGTTATGGTGTGGTGGGTATGATAAGTTACATTATTTGTACATTTGCATGTCTGTACATTTTCTCAAACATACTATGTTTTTCCATTTGATTTACCCCCCATCAGTCATATAGTAGTATCCAATCTGATACAAATCAACCAGCTCATTTTTAAGTTGCATCATTTTTATGTTAAAGAATGCTTCTCTAAATGTTCCACAATATCAAGAAAGCATATTTAAAAGAATGCAAATGTCTATTTTATTTGAAATAAAACCATTTATTACAATTTCGTCATTATCAATTTCTTTGACACATGAAATTGTATAAAATACAATTCTAGTGAAATTGGAGAGTAGTTCCTTTGCAGCTTCCTCCCAAACTCCACTATCATCGGGGTCATCCCTATGTTTCCAGGGTTCTATGTTTGCCGGGTTCTATGTTCCCCACTTAACCCTGCAAAAAAGCTTCTATGTTTCCTGCTTGGTTGGGCGGGCAACACAGAACCTGGGAAACGTAGAACCTTTTTTGTGTAAGCGGGGAACATAGAACCTTTTTTGCAGGGTTAAGTGGGGAACATAGAACCCGGGAAACATAGAACCCTGGAAACATAGATACGCTCCCCTATCATCTCCTTAGTCTTCCCAAAAGGAAGAGGTTGTTGTACTGATACCAGGGGGTAAGGTCCTCTGCCTCTGTCATGTATGCCTTTTCATTGTTATATGTGATCGGGCCCGCCGCAGCTGTGTCGTCAGCAAACATGATGATAGTGTTGGAGTCAAAAGTGGCTACGCAGTCATGTGTGTACACATGCCTGCCTTATCTCTGTTAGCAAGGGTTCATCTTTTTAGTTGACAAAACTTTTGTAAAGCCACAAGGTCCCTTGGTCCCTTTTGTTTTGCCAATATTAGTATTATTATTCTTCTTCTTTCCATGAAATCATACTGTCCATGCATCTAAATAAACACAACTTTGCACATAGGTCCCTTCCTATGCCAAGGTTCCTCTACTTAAATTTTATGGGCTGATAGTCCTGATGGTGGCGCTATTGCAACCGTCTAAAGTTAGAAACTTGAAAAGTCATGACAAATCAATCACGTTTTACAATTTTGCAATATTCACCAAATTGTAGCCCCATTTTAGCAGTAATGCTCAGATGCTTTGAACTGCAGGATTTATGAAGGTTTTTCTCAAAAACTGTAAATCTAATTAAACCTGTCTCCTCCCACATTTTCAACTGTCATCAATCTTGCCACACAGTATCCTCCGACTGCCAGATTTTTAAAATATAAAAAATTTGACCCACAGTGCATCATAATGTTTCAGTGTAAACAGCCACAGCAAATAAATCTCCAGTGTTCAGGGAAAAAAGACAAATATTTTGCCATGGTAGAACTAGTGTGGTAAATTTTCAGAATCGTATTTCAAACACAGAATTTTTAACAATATTTTGAATTCTTTCTTTACGTACACTATTGCAGTCAGTGGAAATGAGAGCAAACATCAGTTTGTCACTTGTGGAGCAATCAATCTTTGTAAAAGTACATTTAAAAATTTCTGTTATCTGCTGATGTGTTAGCTCATGCTAACTGGGCAGATGCTAAACTACTTACTGGAAGGACAGCGTCTCTAGAGATGGCAGCAACAGAAAGTTGCTGATCCAACAGGGAGTCGCAATGGTCTGGGATCAGACCCCGGTGCAAGAGAATTGAATGCAGGTATCATTTGATTAGAGATGTTTCAGCTATTTTGGTGGATACCTTTTTCCTTCATCCACCATTTTACAGCTGCAAAAAGAGTGACCTAATAGGCTACAGGGCCTATGATGTAAACACAAGTTTAAATAACTTGGTTTTAATTGGCCAGTGAACTTAGTCCTGGAACACACGTAGCAAGCTCTCATGAATGACAGGCACACAGAGAGGGCCACAGGGCTAGTAAAAATTTGAATCTTTTAAACCAGCTGACTGATGTGGATTTGTCTTGGTATGCCAGGTAGCCAGTACACACCACTGGTGTCTGACTACATTTTCTCCTGCTGGAGCTTGACTCTTTGGACCAGTAAGCTGCCCAGCAGAGCCCCAGCTGCAGCCCCAACAGCTGACCGGGTACTCAACCCTGTTGCCACCCTGGATGAGCCATCAAGGGCCCCAAATGCAGCTCCCAGTGCGGCGCCTCCAGCCCTCAGCCACGACAGAGTGCAGTCAGCCTTAAGTTGCCCCTCTTGGTTTGCAGTCTCGTTCTATGGACCCAATAAGAATCACTGTTTTAGGTAATGTGACAGGCTGGTATCCAAACACTCAGTAGTATCAGTGCACAGTATCCTACAGCTGATTAAAATATGTGCTTATGTCTGACTATATTTCGTCAACTGATTATCTCAAATGTGCAAAAAGTATGTGAACCTCGGACAGGCAGACTCTGATTATGAAACAACTGCCAAGCAGGCCCCTAGCTCATGACAAAATTCCTCAGAAACTAATGAATGAGTCCCAGGGACGTGCTGTGGATATTTAAGGCACCGACAGTTTCTGTGGCACTGCAGTTGGGATTAAATTTCTAATCGTGCATAAAGTAATATAAAGCTGTTTATCATGAGCCACATCTGCTGAATACATTCACACTCGCCAAAGGATAAATCTGAGCTTGCTTTGTGACATGGTCATGAATAAATTTGACAGAGGTCACTTGTTTTGGGCTCCTCCCCTTATACAGTTATCAACCAAGATTAATCTACATGGGCTTATTAATTGTTTTGCAATAATGTTGAAAACAGATATTTTCACTCACCTTCTCATGTGACATGATGTCATTGTCCAACACCACCACCTTTTTCTGTTCTGTCTCTGTAACTTAAAGAGGTTAGAGACGTTTACTCAGGCCTAGTCCACACAGGCATAGGTATTTGTGAAAACGTTTTTTTTTTTTTTTTATCTCTTTCATTCTAGGATAAAAAAAAAAGAAAGAAAAATCCTGTCCACACAATGTAATGTAATAAAAAAATCCCAGTCCAAATGAAAAGCAAAACAAAACTGAAGCATTGTCAGCTTACTAAACCAACAGGAGAGATATAGCCATAACTTTTAAGCCACGTAAGGTAAGAAGAACTTGGTCAAACAGTCAATCAAATCTCACGGGATCCCCACAGACAAAAACGGTATTGTCTGTTGCAACTGTCGCAAAAATCTTTCTGAGCGTGCATTTGTTGACAAGACAACAATACCGGTGAACTTCCTGAAGCTGGCCGTGTAATGCGCGATCATCATGTCTTCAGACCAGGTAAAGTAGCCTTATAGCATTTTGTACACACATGATTAGGCCGATTGCTTTATTTATTTATTCATTTTCTAAACTCAGAAATGAGTTGCTCTCTGCATGTCAGGGCTGACCTCCTCCTCCTCACAGCGTGCGCACACACAAACACACAAACTCAACAGAGTGAAGTCAGACAACAGCAGATGAAGGGAATATAACGTCAAGATTACTCTAGTTGACGACAACTACGCTTGTTACTGTAAGTAAGTGAACCTCTGCCAGCCAAGCCAATATTTTATCAATACATGTGATCAGCATGTAGAAAGCCACATTTCAATCTGCTCTGTATGCAGTCTCTCATTCACCGCTATTATGATTTACGATCGTAGTCGACACAAGCACATCGCGCTTGCGGTGCTAACAGCAAACAGTTAAAGACAAACTAAAATGAAAGCTGTCTGTATGTAGGCTAACACTTTATCTTAAAATGTACCTGAGGCAGCCGACATGCAGACAGTGAGTCTTATGACTCCTGCAGTAACAGCGCCAGGTCACCATCAGTCGAGCATCCCTCCTCCTCTTTCAGCTCTCGCCAGCATGTGAAAGCCGGGCCAATATTAATCCTTCATTGAGCTCTTGTTTAATCGCTCTCTCGTTTTCTTTTCTTTGTCTCCTCTGACATCACTTTCACCTTCTTCCTTTTCTTTGTCTCTTCAGCCATGACAACCACTTCTAACTTAGTTCACCTCTGTTCAGCTACGCTACTCTAAAGAGAGGAGGGGGATATGACATATGCCGTAAAGCAGCCAGATTTTGTAGTCCTTTTTGTGTCTGGGTTCCTACCCGAACCCCAAAACTGCATAGTGCCAGTGCAAGTGAAACAGACGCTCTTAAGCAATGATGGAGGTGTCATCCAACCTATTGTGAGTTGATGTTCCATCAAAAAGATCTTGGATATATATTTTGAGGGCTCAAAAACTCCATTGTGTTGCTTTAAAACAATATTTATGAAAAACCCTTTTGATTCTTTTGATTGCTGGATCTTTATGGACTAAAGGAATATGAATAACTTAGCGTGTAATCAAGGAATGGACACATACTCTGGCTTTATGACCGCGTCAGAGGAGGTGAGTCTCCATTTGTTTGTTATTGTCGTGTTGCTAAATCTGAGTGAATTAACGGTCTTCTCTGGTGCTCGTGGTTTTAAAAACCTGAGAATCCAACTGAGCTAATGATGTGTAGCATCTCCATATTGACAAAACTTTAAACATTCATATTTGTATGTGCGACCTAAACAACTAACGAATGTAAGCCTAAGTGACCAGCCAACAACCTGTTTTTATACATACAAAGAACTTCTATAAAAATGAACAACTAGGCAACCAGACCAGGTGTCTAAATGACACAGGTATTAATTTGTCAAAATGTGTAGCCACACCAGGCTCGTCAAAGGGACTGTGCGTTAAATTGGGACTAGGCTTTTAATTTAAGTTTTACAATATGTGAAAAAGTTAGCAAGGTTAAAGCCAGCACTATTTTGGTCACAGCTGCCATTGCAGGAAATGTCACCTCATTTGTGACACCACACAAAGGAGATAACGGTGTGCACTCTGACATTACAATCCAAAAACTCTGTTTTCCCTGTCTACACGTCAACACTAAAAAAAAAGAGTAGGTCTCATTCATGAAACGTGAGCAGAAGGAATTTGTGTGTAAACTGTTCACAGAAGGAAATTTAGAGTATTTCGGCATTCATCTATACTGTATGTGTGTAGCTCCGATCTTTTCATAGGTACCAACGAAGTCTACGCCTGCTTCTGACTGCTCGTAGTGCTTGTGTAAACAAGATATTGCACATTAATTTTGCTTATCATTATTAGAAATTACAGTTTTATTTTGCATTGTGCTCTGTTATGTTAACAATACACAGATGGCGTTGGGGTTCTTAAAAATGAGAATGATTTATTTCAATGGATTTGATACAAAATTGGAAACCCCTGTTCTCTGAATAGATAAAATAACAAACCAACACGCTCCTCCTCTGCCCTCTTTACGCACTGCAGCCCCAAACTGCATGTCATTTTTGTTTAATATAATTATCAGAGATGCAACGTGGGGGATGTAAACATAATTTCAAATTGAGTCTTGGTTTAATAAGACTTGTGGATGTGGGAAAGCAATTTGGCGTCTGTCTCCGCTCACACTGGGCAGCTGGTGAACCCGAATCTGGCAGAGAGTTGGAGGGAGACTATCTTACTTGGTGGTGGTTTACTGCCTATATTAGACTGCCTGTATTAAGATGTTTTAATTGTAATGCAAGGCTTAGGGCAAACTGACAGAGAGGTCTCTCCAATGATGCAAGCAATGTGCTCCTCTGCAGCAGAGAGCTGTGACTGGGGAGAGCCTCCTGTAGTTGTTGTGTTTTTTTTGTGTGTACTTGTGTGTTTTTTGCATCTAGTTTCATACCCAACCATTTTCGCTTAACTTTTTGGATGGTTCTTACAGATGACACGGAGTTAACAGCACCCACTACCTCCTTCCAGGCCTGTGATTTACCTGTCCCTGTCACACCACTACTAAGAGAAGAAACTAAAATGCTTTTTTCAACCCCACTTCACCTAAAATAATTTCAGTCTTTCAGTTTTTCTTTTTCTCTATCTCTTTCTTTGACAATTACTATCCATAGTAATTATCACCTTCATACATGGTAGTCACTGGCTACTTATGGGTGGGCATGTATGCTAACCACTGACAAGGGGGAGTGCACGGTCAATTAACGATTAATTGGCATTCATAAACATACACACATGCCTACGATCAAATCCGAATGTTCCGCGGCCTTCATGAATCCAGTGTAAGTTTTTAGTACCAAGGTTTTTTATGTGCAGGCCTACTCACAGATTTATTAACATTTCATGAATGAGACCCAGTGTCTGAAATCTCAACCCCAGAGTTTTACAAGAGATCAATTTTCAGTGACCTAAAACTGTTTGTGTGTGGATGAAGGGCCAACATGCATTGCAAAAAGCTATGTTTTCAAATATACCATGTACGTGTAGACAAGGCCTCACATAACTACACCAGACTCAGGATCATCTCACTCAGGTTCTGTGCTGCTGTGACCTTTGTTAGAGCACACAGTGTTCATCTCTTTTTTGGTGTCTTTTTTCTGATAGTGCCTCTGCATCCCTTCAATTGTGGCTTCCAGCACCTTCTTTATATCCTCTTTTTCTCTCTTCAGCTGTTCTATTGTTTCTTTAAAATTTTTTGCTTCTCTTTTGTGATTGATCATCATTTGATCCAGCTCTTTATCTTTCTCCTCACAATTTTTCTTGAAGGGTGCCATCTCTTGCTCCCATTCCTTCACTCTCTCCTCCAGCTCTTCCTTTTCCAGCTCACTGCTTTGCTTTGTAGCTTTAATCACATCATCTTTCACAGCACATCTTTCACGCAAGCTTGTTATTATTCTGTCTTTGCCCATAATGACTTGTTTGAGCTGGTTGTTCTCCCTCTCAGCCTCCGCTAATCTTCTGCCAATCTCTTCTTCATAGTCTTTATTTTTCCTCTCTGCTGCTGCCTTCAGAGCTTCAATCTGCTCATCTTTCCCTTTAGCTGTTTTAATCATGTCCTGTACTACCCTCTCCTTCTGCTCGACTGTTTGCCTCAGCAGATCATTGTCCTTCCTTGCCCTCTTTAGCTGTCTTGCTTTCTTTTTGGAGATCAGATCCAGATGCCTGTTGCTTTCTTGGAGTGTCATAAAACCACGCAACAAGTGTCCAGTATCATTTCCCACCACTGTTTCCTCAATCTTTGCCAGCAGTTCCCTAACCTGAAGGTCTCCAACCTTGTCTGAGTTATCAAAAACATGATATCTATTCCCACATTTGTCCACCAACCACTGAAGGGCAGGCCATCTCTCAATGTGCTTCTCAATGGGGGTGACTCCCAGCTTGTCTCCCCAAGTAAACAACACGATGGCTCGAGCCCACGCCCAAACTCCAACAAGGATTAAGTGTTCCTCCATTTTCAAGCGATCTGTTTCAGTGAAAGTCTCATCGCTGCGTACGACCACCAGGACAGCATGGGGATCAAGGGAGCACAGAGATGTACTGTGGGTAATCTGTTGTTGTACCTCCTGTGGAGTGTCATGTGAGCAGTATCTGCCATGCCAGCCAGGAGCCTCAACCACAGTGACTCGCTTGTTATGAACATCACCCTGTCTCTCAGTGCACTGTGATGTTGGATATCCAGCAGGAAATACTTCCTCCCCAAGAATGGTGTTTCCAGCTGAGCTCTTCCCAACCTGCTTCGGTCCCACGATAAGAATTTGAAGCATTGAGATCGGAGGAGACTCTCCTGGATTTTAAATAAAAGTCAGGGTTTAGGAAACATTATTAAATTGGAAGAATCTCATGTTTGGATGCACTTGACAATAAAAATGACAGTGACATGGAGATCTGTTAGGACAGGTGAGGGGTAACTGAACTCTTTTAAAAAGGAAAGCTTTATTTTAAGAAATTTTAGTTATTTTAGTCCTTTCATGCTGCAGCCATGCGTACCCTCCACCTCCCCATCACCGCCTAGCTTTTACTCACCACAACTGCAGAGGCTCCCAGCTTCATTTGAAACAAACTACATTATAGACGGTCCGTTATTTATTAATCCCTCTGTGTGTTTTTATATTTACTTTTTATCTGCTCCTGCTGTCTTTATAAAGTAAACACATCGCGTCGTCATTTCAACCTCACTCAACACTTCCTGAATTTCTTTCAGATTAAAAGCCCCTTATAACCTCGGCTGAGAGCTTTTATTGTGAAACATTTGTAGGAACTTGGTTGTGGAGGATACAGTAGCTTGATAGTTTACTTCAAATGTAGCTCCTGCCACCTGCTGGCGCTTTTAGGTGACTACAACAACATTTCAGCTGGCACATGAACAGACACACAGTGACTCAAATGATAGTAATGAAAATAAGACAATAATAACCCGACGACATCACACACGTCATGAAAGGTGAGCGGGGATAATTGGTGAGTACCATCGTGTAGTGTGTCATGTCTGTCGGCCAAGTCACGGCACAATTTTAGGACTCCACAATCATGTAATGTGACATAGTGACTTTCAGAACGGGCAGTCGTGTAGTGTGTATCAGGCATAATGCAAGTCCTGAGTCTGACCTGTCTGTCAGCAAGTCCTCCTCCATCTATTGAATCGTGGAGATTTTACTGACGATCCTGCAGATTGTTTTAGACTCCACCGTAGACAACGGCAGCATTTCTCCGACCACGTAGCGAACCACAAGCTCCGTGGCTTCTTTCAGACTGATAGGTTTAACGTTATCTCTGTTATTAGAACCAAAAGACAGCCGTTGCTGTTTCGGAGCTGAAGGACCAGCGTTCTAAAAGTAACGGAAGTAACTGATGGCTTGTTTGAAAATGTACTTAAGTATTTGATTACTCAAACAGCAAACTAATGCATTAGGTTACTCGTTACTGCAAAAAGTAATCAAAGTACACTAATGTTACTTTGTAACGTGTTATACCCAACTCTGGTCATCAGCCACCACCAGTGTCTAGACTCCATGGGGGGATTTATCTTCCTGCTGCTCAGATGTCCCAGGATCACAAATAATCTCCCTCTGGTGTCTTAACGCTGAAGAATATTGTTAAATCTATCAGCACAAATCATCTCTTAATCTGTACACATATATTCCACATTAAACTTCATCTTTATTTCATTCTTCTGTCTCTCTGATCTGCTAATTGTAGCCAATTTACTGAAGTGATGTAGTGATAGGTCGCCAAAAACACCGTCTGTTTCTGCTCAAGCGCCACTCGAAAATCGTTCCAAATTGGTCGGCACCAACTTTGAAAGAGAGACTGAATAAGTAAGAGATACACACACATATATATACAGTACAGGCCAAAAGTTTGGACACACCTTCTCATTCAATGCGTTTTCTTTATTTTCATGACTATTTACATTGTAGATTCTCACTGAAGGCATCAAAACTATGAATGAACACATGTGGAGTTATGTACTTAACAAAAAAAGGTGAAATAACTGAAAACATGTTTTATATTCTAGTTTCTTCAAAATAGCCACCCTTTGCTCTGATTACTGCTTTGCACACTCTTGGCATTCTCTCCATGAGCTTCAAGAGGTAGTCACCTGAAATGGTTTCCACTTCACAGGTGTGCCTTATCAGGGTTAATTAGTGGAATTTCTTGCTTTATCAATGGGGTTGGGACCATCAGTTGTGTTGTGCAGAAGTCAGGTTAATACACAGCCGACAGCCCTATTGGACAACTGTTAAAATTCATATTATGGCAAGAACCAATCAGCTAACTAAAGAAAAACGAGTGGCCATCATTACTTTAAGAAATGAAGGTCAGTCAGTCCGGAAAATTGCAAAAACTTTAAATGTGTCCCCAAGTGGAGTCGCAAAAACCATCAAGCGCTACAACGAAACTGGCACACATGAGGACCGACCCAGGAAAGGAAGACCAAGAGTCACCTCTGCTTCTGAGGATAAGTTCATCCGAGTCACCAGCCTCAGAAATCGCAAGTTAACAGCAGCTCAGATCAGAGACCAGATGAATGCCACACAGAGTTCTAGCAGCAGACCCATCTCTAGAACAACTGTTAAGAGGAGACTGCGCCAATCAGGCCTTCATGGTCAAATAGCTGCTAGGAAACCACTGCTAAGGAGAGGCAACAAGCAGAAGAGATTTGTTTGGGCCAAGAAACACAAGGAATGGACATTAGACCAGTGGAAATCTGTGCTTTGGTCTGATGAGTCCAAATTTGAGATCTTTGGTTCCAACCGCCGTGTCTTTGTGAGACGCAGAAAAGGTGAACGGATGGATTCCACATGCCTGGTTCCCACTGTGAAGCATGGAGGAGGAGGTGTGATGGTGTGGGGGTGTTTTGCTGGTGACACTGTTGGGGATTTATTCAAAATTGAAGGCACACTGAACCAGCATGGCTACCACAGCATCCTGCAGCGACATGCCATCCCATCCGGTTTGCGTTTAGTTGGACGATCATTTATTTTTCAACAGGACAATGACCCCAAACACACCTCCAGGCTGTGTAAGGGCTATTTGACCAAGAAGGAGAGTGATGGAGTGCTGCGGCAGATGACCTGGCCTCCACAGTCACCGGACCTGAACCCAATCGAGATGGTTTGGGGTGAGCTGGACCGCAGAGTGAAGGCAAAGGGGCCAACAAGTGCTAAACACCTCTGGGAACTCCTTCAAGACTGTTGGAAAACCATTTCAGGTGACTACCTCTTGAAGCTCATGGAGAGAATGCCAAGAGTGTGCAAAGCAGTAATCAGAGCAAAGGGTGGCTATTTTGAAGAAACTAGAATATAAAACATGTTTTCAGTTATTTCACCTTTTTTTGTTAAGTACATAACTCCACATGTGTTCATTCATAGTTTTGATGCCTTCAGTGAGAATCTACAATGTAAATAGTCATGAAAAAAAAGAAAATGCATTGAATGAGAAGGTGTGTCCAAACTTTTGGCCTGTACTGTATATGTATATATATCTATAAAAAGTAACCACCATAATGTATTCACTGGCCACGATGCTGCTTTCTACTGTTTACTAACCTGTTTTCCAGCCCGTCCTTGACATCCAGTGTGACACACCAGTATTTTTAGCAGGTTCCCATATTTTAAAAACTTGTGTACATGTGTGCTGATTTTGGTTGAAAAAGCTCTTTTAAGTTGATATGGCATACTGTCGGCTATTTCCACATCCAGCAAATACAAAACAACATGAGCAATTATTTAGAGCTGTAAATATTCACTCTGCTTTTAGTTCAGATTTACTGAGGGAAATATCTAGCACTTTAGCTGCTACATTTTTTGCAGCTACTTTTTAAAATGAAAACACGTGCCTATTGTGGCCAAACAATTGTAGTAAATTTGCAGGCCGAAAAAAAACAAAAGAATGAGCTGAAAGGAGTTAAAAAGCTCTGTAAGAGTAACTGCAGAATTATGTGGTAATTCTTTGTAAGTTTCTCCATTCACATTACACATTTGATCCAGTGTTTTTATAAAAATATTAGTTGATAGAAGCTTACCTATGAGAGATCTGAGTGTGCTCCTGGCCATCTGCACATTCATTCGCCTCAGAGTCGCCCTCTCCTCTACCTCTTTCCTTTCCCTCCCAGTTATTCTAGAGACTTCCTCATTTGTAGTCACATAACCAGCTCCTCCTGCTTTTATGTTTCCTGCAACCACTGCATCAATCTTCTCCAAAAGTTCTGCAACCTGAGTATCATCATCGTCTCCCCAAATGCTTGTGTCTAAAAGGTGGTATCTATGTCCACATTTCTCCAAAACTGCTTTGAGAAAGCTGTGTCTTGCAGCGTAGCCCTCTACAGATGATCCTCTAAGCCTCTCACATCTGGTGAATATTGCTATCGTGTTTCTCCACACTGTGTCATTCAACAGCTCAAGAGGTCCCTCAACTGTCCACTCTCTGCCTTGGTGAGGGCTGATGGGTATGATCATGAGGAAGGCGTGAGGTCCTGGCGGGCACATGGCCATGCAGGTTGCCATGTTGTCGCTCACCAGGCCGGGGTCTCGGACAGAGTAGTGGATGCACCTTTCAGGGCTGTTGACAACAATAACTGTACGGCCGCTGTCAAGAACACCCTGTCTCCTGACGCACATCTTCACGTCTCTGCTGGTATCAAACAGCTGTCGGCTGAGGAGGGTGTTTCCTGTCAAGCTCTTCTCCAGCCAGTCGTGCCCCAGAAGGACGACCCTCAGCTCCTGAAGACCGCGCTTATGCCCTGGCAGCAGACAAGATTATTCAGCAGCAGTGCAAACATATCATTATATCATAAATCCACATTCAATAAATAAAGATGTACTCAAATATTTTGAAATTCAGGATTCTGGAAACATTTTTTAGTGAATTTGAAGGAAATGAAAAGTTCCTTCTGGACCTTGGAAACAGTTGTTGATGAGGATAATTGAGGATTATGGTTGAAAGCTTCCAGCTCGATCCTGTCATGAGCTGTTATGTTGTTTTAAAAAAAAATAAATAAATAAACTTCTCAATTGCAACTTGTGAAAGAGGTCTTAAAAGTACACAGAAAAACTGGAAATTTGACTATGACACCTGCTGAGGAGGCTCATTTGATGCATTAAAAGCTCACAAAGATCATGCTGGGAGATTGTTTACTCAGGTCTGTGTTTTTGTTGGCTCTACTTAGACAACCATAAACCTAAAGTCATATAACTGTGATATAACAGTCAGTAAGACACAAGAGCAAATATAATTAACAGCATACCTTTCCGTGCCTGTGCTCTGCAGCCCACTAAAACCTTGTCTTCCATCTTTTATTCTTTCAAATACTCTTTCAAACACCATGCTGTCGGTCCTCAGTGTCAGCCAGCACTTTAATGTTTGACTCAGCTTTCTGTCTGATAAGTGGTCAAAGTCCAGCCAACCCAGCAAGTCATAAAACTCTCTTTATAAATACACAGAATCTCTCAAAGGAGAGATATCAGATGTAATTATAGCTGCTGTGCAGCAGTGGTCGGGGGCCGGGCAATTTTAGGCAAAATTAGGCAATTCTGAGCAACCCACACACTAAAACAAAGCATATCACAACATAGAAGTTACATCATGTAATTGTGACATGCCATTCAAATTGTGGATGAGTGGCTGAAGTGATCAGACTCATAATATACAAAGGAAAGAAAAAACTCATGAACAAGAAAGTAAGAATAATATTAAGTGCTAGCAATTATGAACAGACTGGCCTGATCTAGCTTAAAGCTAAACATTATCCATGGTGAAAAAGATGAAAACATTTTTTGAAATGTAAAAGTAGCTATTGGATAGACTCTGCATATTGACTGATAGCTAAGCCAAATAAACAGGGAAAAGAGACAAGGATAACAGGGAAAAGTGCTGATAAAGAGTATTTGTCTCTCCGCAAAACTGCCTGGATCATAATTATTTTAACCTTGGTAGTCTCTAATCCACATAGCATAATGCCTGAACATAGGACTTTCACATTAGAATGTCCATTCTGCCTTAGCTGAGGCTTGCACTCACAACTTCTGAGACTGAGGTCCGTCTTCTATCTCACTGAGCTAATTGGCAAGTGACAGTTCATGTGTGGCTTCACAAATTGACTAAGCCAAGCATCAGGGTGCCAGACAGTAGCCATCCATGCCATGGAAAAGCAAATTTCAAAGTGAAAATTCCAAAGCTGTAGCACATATGGTTGATTTGTTATGAATTTTCAAAGTTTTGAAATTTAGAGGTTTGCTGTAGCGCCACCATCAGGACTATTGTCTTGTGTTTCCAGCTGAGGACATCTGGCATGGGACTGGACCTTTATGAAAAGTTTGGTTTCTCATATTGAAATGTTACACAAGCTGAGGCTTGAACTCACAATCTTCAACACCAAGAACCATCCTCTATCTCACTGAGCTAATTGGCAAACAGAAATGTCACATGTAGCTTCACAAATTGACTAAGCCAGTCACCTGTGTGCAAGACAGCAGCTGTTAGTGTGTAAAGGCAGATTTCAAACGGCTTTCAAAAATTCAGTTATTAAGACAAAAATCCGAAAATACAGAAATTGCATCTAGACAGCATGGAGATGTTGGTAATTTGTTTTTAACAATGATTTATTGGCTCCATAAGTGAAAAACTGATGTTTAAAAATGACATTTTTGCATTGACTCCAATTGTTCACATGAGAGCGAAATTCAAAATGCTGTCAAAAATTCAGTTTTTGAGATAGAATTCTGATATTTTCCAAACATCATCTACCTTGACTCCAAAATTTTGTCTTTTTTTTTTTTAATGAACATTGAAAATGTATTTAGCAATAATTTGCAAGTATATGTTTACAATACCGTTTACAGTCAAACATTTTGATGCACTGTAGGCTCAATTTTCGATAAATCAAAAAGCTGTGTGGATCGTTTGTGCAGGACAGTCTGAAGATGGTCTGTAGCAAGTTTGGTGTCAATTGAGCGAAAATTGTGGGAGGAGATAGGTTTAATAATTTTTACAGTTTTTGAAAAAAACAGAGTGATGGACTTCATAATTTGCAATAGGTTTAAATGTACAAAAGTTTCTTCAGTATTGGGGCTACATTTTGGTGAAAGTTGCAAATCTGTATCACATATAGTTGATTTGTTGTGAATTTCCAAAATTTTGAAATTTAGGGGCTTGCTGTAGCGCCACCATCAGGACTATTTGCCTGTTTTTGCGGCTGAGGCAATCTGGCATGGGACTGGACCTTTGTGCAAAGTTTGGTGATTCTTCGCGCATGGGAAGTAGGATTTCCTCGGAAGAAGAAGAAGAAGAAGAACATGCAGGATAACAATAGGGTCCTGGCAGCTTAGGCTGCCCGGCCCCTAATTATCACGAACAGCTCAGTTGGAAAAAAGGTGATGTAATGGATTTATGTGCACCAATCAGAGCAGGGTAACATACGACCAGCTCAAACATTTCAGTTCCATCTGATGAAGATTAGCTGAGTTTTTCTACATCTAACTTTCTATACCGTCATTCATTCATTCTATAACTGCTTATGCTGTTGGGGTCGCAGGGGTGCTGGAGCCTATCCCAGCTGACATTGGGCGAGAGGCAGGGTACACCCTGGGCAGGTCACCAGAATACCACAGGGGCAGCAAATAGAGACAGACAACCATTCACACTCACATTCACACCTACGGGAAATTTAGAGTCACCATTTAACCTGCATGTCTTTGGACTGTGGGAGGAAGCTGGAGTACCTGGAGAAAACCCACGTTGACATGGGGAGAGCGTGCGGGCTCCCCCACCCTGGGTTTTGGGCCCACACCCCTCTTGCTGTAACCACTGCACCACCGTGCTGTCCTTTTCATACATGAAGATGTTTATATCCGACTCAAAATTAGCTGACTGTTGCTTATTTTTTCATTAATACTTAATATCCGTTTAGAAAAACATAGTATTTGTGTTCACAAAAGCAAGAGTCACACTTTTTCAGCTTCCTCAGAAAGCCTTTTTATTCAGGTTCAAATCCAGAGTTAATGCCACAGCTGTTGCATTGCCAGTCTGTAAAAGAGTCCCTGAGTCAGAATTAACTCGATTCAGCGACTGTGCAGAAGTGCACATCATGCAAAAAGTAATTGACTACAGTAAGAAACCATGATTAATTACAAAGTTTTACAAATCTTGTAAGCATCATCTGTGACTACAGCCTTCTGTCTGTGGCTTTAATGAGAAGAGAGGCATCGCTGAAGGTATTCACAGCTCCGAACCTGAAAAGGCGAGCTCGTGTCAGGTATAACCTTTGCAGATCATTTCGTAACCTGCACCCTGGAGGCCAGCTCAGTTTAAATCCTCTTGTGCTGTAGCATTTCCGTCAGTGTTACATTTGGTTGTAGCCTGAACGCATGGCCAATCATTCAAAAGAACTATTGCAAAATAACAGAAGAGCATCTCTGCCATTTCTAAAAGTGAACATCATACTCATCATTTACATTATGTACATATTTATACAGTCTCTCAACATCATGTCACACATCTTGTGACAGTATATCCAAAATGTCCTCAGGGTGTTAGATGGACAGTTGGGTAACGTGTCATTCAGAAGGTCTACTGCAAAAGAACCGCTACGTACATCTCTACAATTTCTAGAAGTGAATGTGACATTCATCATTTACCTTATGTACATATTTTCAGTTTACACAGTCTCGACATACTGTCACACCTGTGTGGCTTAATACTGTATCTTAAAGTAAAAGTGTGGATGTGTGATGATGAACGGACGATGGCTGTGTCGATGGATGAGAGAAGATGGAGGGCGGAAATGTTTCAATGGTGGATTCAGCAGCCCTCGCCCCTGGAATCACGCACATCTTTTTACCTGAGCTGCTGTGCAAATAGAAAGAGTCACACAAATCCAAATAAGTCAAAGGAGTAAGAGTTGCTTTGTGATTAAATCCTTTAATATTCTCAAGTGTTTTAATCGAAGAAACCTTAAAAATAGCCTTAGAAAACAAAACAAAGGCTGACTCAAGAGGTGCCACTAACTCAATTATCTTTGATTTTTAAAAAACTTAATTACGTGGTGTCAGTTTGTAAAGTTATTTGATTCCATTGGAGACTTCAGAAAAAAACAACAACCACAAGTTACAGTACTATTTCTTTACTGAATAAAAAAACATCCAGTGTAAAAAGTTCTTCCAAATACCTATCTGAACTTCTCAGCATCCTTTCTGCTTTGGGCTATGATTTTTACTGAATGACAGGATGAGCTGGACTGCATTTGTATCTGATCAGCTCTCTTGAGGAAAAAGATAACAGGCCAAGATAATGAAGCTTTAACCAAATATTTAAAGGTAAAGCCATTCAAAGTATCTTCTTGTAACAATGAGAATTAATTACAAACAGAGCTCTTTGTGCATAAGAGCAAACATTTCGTTTTAATTCTTAATGTTAAAACTTTAGAACAAAGCCGCCTGGCAACTAATCCCAGCAGCTTGCTTTACGACACTGGAGAACATGTTTGAATCAACCTTCACTACCACAGGGGCTCAGTTAGCTTCTACATTTTCACACAAAAATTAAGCAGCACTGTCTATTAAGGCTTGCATGAAATCTGTCTGGGTGGAGAGAACTCTACAGAGAGAGGAAGTACACAACATGCTGCTGCTGAGGAGTGATAAATTAAAACCAACAAATGATTAACACTACATGTGGCACGGGAGCGGTGGGGGGAGGGGAGGAGAGAGCATGACACGAAAAATCCCCTCCATGTCTTGCTACCGTTGTTTGCATTTTGGACCAGAACATGTGGCTTGTGACACTGGAAGAGATTCACTCACATACTGCAGCAGCTAACGTTTCATTTGTTGCAGTTAAAAACAACCAGCTGTGGGATGACTGATTCTAAAATGGTAAAATGTAGGGAGCCCTGCACCGACAATGGCTAGGACTTGCAGAGAAACGAAGCTGCCAGGACACTGTGTAAGCAGCTTCCTTTAACTAACGACTATGTACAGGTACGAGGACGCCTTTAACAAACCAACAACTTTCAAGCTTTCCACTTTAAAGATTCAAAATGTTGTTTTAATTACTCATTCGCTTTGGTAATCTAACCAAATGAATGCACACTGCTCCCTCATGCACTTTAATGGAAGGAAGAGGATGAATATTCAAACATAACGCAGAGGTAAGAGGTGGGTGCTGTTTTAAAGGGGTGGCGAATAAGCAATCCCTTGCCTGAGCAAGCTTGATTTAAGGCAAAGGTTAAAACATCACTACTACAGTCTATATCTGGACACAGAAATTATATGCTAACAGCTGTGAGGCTACGTGGAGACAGTTGGTGACCTTTTTCTGGAATCTGGTTCCACTGAAACTCAACAGCAGAAGCAGAATAGAGCAGTGTGCACGGCGTTTAGACTGTCAACACTGGCATCAGAGGAGGGGGGGGCGGATGGTAAGTCGAACAGCTTCAGTGTTTGGACTAAGATTGCTGGTTGAATTAACATCACATTTAGCGGGTAAGAGAGTGATTGTGTTTTAAAAATGAACAGTAATATGTATGCAAATTCCTATTTGTGTAAAGCACATGAAAACAGGAATAAAAACTGGAAAAAATCATTTAAAATGTGTCGGGATGAATCCGTGGGTGTTGGTGCTGCGGGCTACAAATGAGACCTGTAACAGATGGTAGGTGTCCTTGATGAGGACGGTTTTCACATTCAGAGCCCTTGCTGTAGTTTAGCAGACACCAGCCTTTTCTGAGCCAAGATGTTAAGGGGTCAGTTCGCCAAGATCATGAGATTGAAAAAAACAACAACAACAACAACAACAACAAAAGATTTTCCCACTTAACCCTTGCGTTATCGAGCCCTGGAGATGGTGTGGGATTTGTATTTTGAGGTGTCTGCCCTGAGACTACTGCTGCTAACCTGATACAATGGAGGTGAACTGAATGTCACTGGTGGTGCTCAAATGATTTAATATTACATTTGAAAAGCTCAAGAGCAACGTTTCTTTCTGGAAACAATGCGCCTAATACTTGGATAATCCAATGATACTGCTCCTATTTTTCACATTCGACATATACAGCAGATGAAAATTGTCCTAAGGGACAGAACACATTTCTGTTGAGCTTTTCACATGTAGTTCTGCTGTGATTTGAGCACCATGAACCACACTTCATTCACCTACATTGTGTTGGAGCGGCAGCAGAAGTGTCAGTGCAGGCTATCTCAAACCCTGGGCACATAAAACCCCACACTATCCACCTGGCCACATACCCACAAGTTAAAATGGTAAACGCTTTGTGATTTAGGTGAACCAACCCTTTAAGATTAAGGAAACTAGGCTGGGCCTCAAGGCACCGGTTCCTATTACAAGTCCCACTTAGTGAAAACAAGGGAGGGAGATGTCCTGCATGTTACAGATTGCTGTTGCAGAAACGCACTGCCCCTGGATGGCTAAGATTTAAAAGATCAGGTACGGATCGGCTTGTGTTCTGACTGGCTGATGACTCTGGCAGGAAGTGGAGGTAGGTAGCGCAGAGCAGGAAATGGGCTGACTGGCTGTCCATGTGACCTCAGACAGGTTAGGAGCTTAACCTTGGGTTTTACCGGGATTTAATGGGACTTGGAGGTGGACAGTGGGTCGCTAGCTGGATTAAGAAAGATGCAGGGGAATACAGTACTGCATCTCCCCCTCCTTATGTTCTGTGTTACACCAGAGAACTTGAACCTCAGACCTTCCATGTTCTCTCTCTCTCACTCTAGTGCCATTAGTAGTTCTAACTCTGGTCTCTATTATGTTTTCACAGCTGGGTCTCCTCCCCGACCTGCCAACTGACTCAACAGTAGGAGGAGAATGGAGTTGGGTAGTGGTGAGACACCGCAGGGCGACCGTACAGAAACGGGCGTACACGGAGGGGGGGTGACACACTTTAGTTTTGTTTCTTGGCCTCCTGGTTGCCGTAACTGGAGCCTGTTTTCTTCACCTCGGTGACCCCTATGAGGCGGCGGATAGCTATGGAGGCTGGGGAGAGACCAAAGGAGAATATTAAGAGTGGAGTGAACAAACGTCTCATTTCATTTTTGTTCCCAGGTAAAGTCAAACCACAAAAGGAAGTCTCATTTTTCATTCTTAGGGCCACTGCTGCAGAGTTCACCTACCTATGATGAGGAAGATGATAAAGCCAATGATGAGGAGGGGGGAGCCACTGACAGCCACTCCACAAGCAAAGTTGATTAGGGGCGAAAGCAGCAGGGTGGCCCAAAACAGGAAGTTCAGCAGCGTCCATGGCCTGCGACGAGGTACTATTGTGGGTCCGGGGAACTTGCCTTCCTTCTTATAGAGTTCCTGTAATGCATCCTGAGCAGGACAGGAAGAAGAATCGGTTTGCACTGAATGAACTGATCATGTATGCCATTGCCTCATTTGACCTGAGACAGTAACCTCCCTTATACTTGCATCAGACATACTGTACAGACTGTGAGAAATGATAAAGTAATGCATCAAATCAGAAAATAATTATTCAATACTTTGCACATTTTACACTTTGATTACAATTATGCCTTTAGTCAGCTTTCCTCAGTTTACCTTCTCCTGGTAGAGCTTGTGCAGCCAGATGGCACACTCCTTCTCGTCATCTGGTATATCCTCCACAGGGAAACGCCTGGTTGGGAGAGAATAAAAAAGAAGTTTTAAACTGGGAATGGACTCTAAGATTCTTGAAACTTCAAAGATTAGACACTAACTATTTCAGCTAACATTCATGGATTGTTTTGCCTCCACAGTCTGAAATGAGCACATAATGAACAACTGAGGAAATACTAAAGGACGACACACTGTATGACACGTTGCTGCAGAGAACAAAATTTAAGAAAATGCAGCAAAACACAAATGTATGTCCATCAAACACTGTGTGACTTGCTGATACAAGCAGCAGTTTGGGCAAAGAAATAAAAAAACAAAGGAAAACTTTTGATGAAAGGTGACTACAGAGAAGCGCGTGATTGTAACTACGCACAGAGAGCAGAAGGTGTGTGACCTTTACAAGAATGATGTGGATTTCAAGTGTACTGAAAACTGATGAATTAGATCTGCACACCAAACATTATTCCGCTGGCCTGCCAATAGGGCTGCAACAGTGTGAGATTTTAACGGCATGACAACCGTCTCAGAAAATATCACAGTATCGTGGTTTTACAGAATATAAATTATGATCAGTCAGAATGACCCTGAAAGGAATAAAATCAGAGCGGTTACTGTTGGTTGGACAAACTTAAAATTTATTACTAAAATTGAGACTTGAAATCATTTTGTTAATGGATGTATGTGTAAAAAATCTCCCCTTAGAAAATAACTACATTATCGTAGATAAGCAAATATACACAGTATGATAACTGTCAACTTTTATATCTTGGTATACCCTGAAACCAGTATATCACTGCAACCCTACTTGCCAAGGTTTTATTTTTCTCCCTTTTATGATTTCTCCTGCTCACACATATTATATGCCATGGTCATGATTCTAGTTGTGAACATAATGGATGAGAATGAAAGGCAGCGACTGGATTAGAAGAATCTTTAAACGCCACACACTGTATGGAAGTCTCTAGATTAGGTCACGTGTAATGCCTTTACAGGGCATGATATATTCAGCACCGCATGAAAAAAAGTAGAAATATTGAAATAATGACCAACTGGCCTAGAGAACCATTGGTAAGTTATACATAAAGCATTCACACAGTTTACAGGCGCTGCAACCCATTTAAAAATATCTATTTTAAACAAAGACAGTTTGTTTAAGTACTTGACCTTCCTTTAACGTATGAGGACATTCAGCTAACACTGCATTAAAGAGTAGGACTCTAAAATCATCATGTAACGGACAATAGATCTGCAACAATTTATTGATTAGTTTTCAACTATGAAATGAATTGTCAACTAATTTAAAAATCAAGTAACTGGTTTGACTTTTTTTTTTTTTTTTTTAGAAATAAATAAAGACAAATTTTCTGATTCCAGCTTCTTAAACGTGAATATTTTCTGGCTTCATTTATGTAGAGTGTCTACAGTAAACTAAATGTTTTTGGGTTGTGGAGAAGACAAGACATTTGAGGACGTCATCTAGGACTCTGACATTTTATAGACCTAACAACTAGTCATTTAATGAAGAAAATAAATGACAGATTAAGTGACAATTAACATAATCATTAGTTGCAGCCCTAAAGGACAAGAAGATGTTACATACATTTCACGATCAATCCAGTCCTCCCAGAGTGCAACAGAAAATATTTTATGATGATACAGAAAATTATTTGCAGGTTGTTATGACAGTGTCTCACCACGAGATGGCTCCCTCACCTCAAACTCTATTCAACTCTGCACCACAGCTCATCTGTTACAGTGCTGAGTGATTTCCTTAAACTCACTGGTATGTTTAACTGACTTCACTCTACTCACTCACGTTACCACAAAACTAAAACAAGGTATCCTCTAGTATTCTCCTTTTTATTAGATTTGAGTAAAATAAATCAACACTATATTTCTCTAATTCAGTTTTGCTGTTCAGACAAAAGACATGCTTTTCTGAGCAATCCCAATCTGCTGCTGTCTCACGGCCATCTCTCTCCTCAGTAGGAGTGTCCTAGCCATTAGAGTTATTGTTCTGAACCCATAAACGTGCTGGGAAACTAGCCAACATTTGGAGCACTCTCAACGTCTCTTTCATTGTTATGGGGCAAAAAAATGCAGTTGGGAGGAGGCCAAAAGGTTTAGAATACATTCATCATTTTCCACTCGAAGAAACTCAGTAAAGCTGGCAGTGTACTGCATCATTATAACAATAACCGATGATTCGAAAGCAAATGGAGGCTATCAGTGGCACTCACCTTACGCTCATGTCAGCTCTGTATTTCTTGCCATTGACAATGCCCAGGAGAGTGGGAGTTTGGTTGTCCTTGAAGTTGAGAGTCACATCATACACAGCAGTTACTATAAAAGAGAAAAAACTCAGATTAAGATTAAAGAGCCATTTTAACACTGCACCTACCCCCAGGCCAAGGGAACTGTTAGCTTTGGGCTAAAAAGGTTTCACACTGGCACAATCCTGGCACATTACAAAGTGGGTTAACCCCGACTTTAGCCTAGGCCTTGCTGGCCCTTCTCCTGAGCAGGGTAAGCCTCGAGTCTGCGGGGTTATACCCTGAAAATCGTCTAAAGACGCGGCTAAAAGTTGGCAGTGCGAAACAGAGCTAATTAGCATCACACAACTTCTTCATTACATCATCAGTAAGTGTGTGCTTTAGGTTTATGTTTTAACCATGGTAACTACTACTAACCGAAACAGGGGATAACTAGCAAGCTAGCCAACTTAAAACCTCTAGAGACGACAAAAGACACTGCTAGAAAAGGTAATGTTGCTAATGGCAACATTTTAACTTTGCTGCTTGCTGTTTAGGAGTGATCATGCATCATTTTAAATTGTAAACACTAGTTACGTGTTCCAATGGATATTTAACCCGGGGCTAGTAGAGGGTAGTGTGACTCATATAGCCCTGGGCTTAGTTTAACACTGGGTTAACAATGTGTGTGCGAAAAGGGGCTAAGTTTGTCCAGACTTTTTCTTGGAGCCGGTGCAGTGTGAAAAGTGTGACTAGACTTTACCTGTGCCCTTAAGACACTGCAGTGTGGTGGTGAATCCTTTGGTTCGGGGTAGTAGGTGGTATTTGAGCTTGGGCAGGCCTTTACTCTCTGCAACCTGCATACTGATTTGGTGCTTCGTCTCTGTAAAGCGGGTGCCCTCGCAGTACAGCAGAAACTGAGGAGGGAGACGAGCTGTGTTAATACACACACCTATGAAAAAGAATCACACAGTCTTGAGGTGACCTCCTTTCTCTTGTCCCATCCACTACCCTACTTCTGCTTGGTTGAATTACAGATCAAGTTCAATGTAACACAATGCTAAAATAAAGTCACTGTCTTGTCTCAAAAGGAACGTGGATGCTAACTCTACCAAACAGTGATTAGTTTGTTTATCTGAACATATAGGAACTATGTCATCAGCAGTGACCTAACGCTTGACTTAAGGGGTAATTAGATCAACTGCTGATCTGCCTAATCTCAGCTGGTGAACTCGTTGAGTCAAGGTGAAAATCTGCTTTACACCTTCGGCAAAAAGGTGCACAACAAACAGCAGCACCTACTGCCACCAGGTAAGATACCACTAATGTAAGGCACTTGCTTGCTTGTTTCAACAGAAAAGAGCTGTTTTGCCTTCCAAAGCTGGGTGAAACCACCTCAGGCTGTTTACGCACAGTGGAAAGTCCGGTTCATGAGGTTTCACAGAAAAAGAAAACACTGATCCTCCTGCTGAGCGATTTTAAATACAGCTGGTGCACCCAGAGAACTGGTGTGTATATGTCTACTGAGTTCAATTTATGTAGAAAAACTGGATCAAAGGCAGCATCTGGATTTCCTCATGTTTAGAGAGGCCAGAGAGTTCAACATGAAACCTAAAGAACTGACAAACAAGTCCAATTTATGACAGCTTGGATTTCATTTTTGAAGTTTTGGCCATTGTTTCTATTGGCAGGGATAACATTGCATTCACCAAGTTAACAGCTGAGATCTGGCAACACAAGCTGTCACACCATCATGACGGTTTTTAACAAACTCCCAGGTTAGTCAAACTTGTCTGGAGGGTAAAAAAAAAAAAACCCAAAGGCAAACAGTTCGGTATGAGTTTATGGTTGACCTTTGGCCTACTGTACTTGCCATAGTGGTGCTAACACACAGTTTTCATGTACAATATGGGATTATTACCCCCAAATAAATTGGTCTGATTGTGCAAATGTAGGACTTCTTTTTAGAAATCTCAGTAAAAAGGATGCATAAGCTACTAAAAATGAGACTCAAGTTGTAATTAACAGAAATAAATAAGTAAGCTGCTTTGCCCACATTATGTATTTCTAATCAAAATTGAAACAATCAAACAAACACTTCATTGAAATGATGTGCTCATGTAACTATATGTCCGTTAATTTTACTAACAAGTCTATTCTGACAGGATGTTTCACAACCTTGATTGTCCAACTGGGCTACAGTTGAATAATTGCAAAATAAACTGTGCAAAGGGATGTGTAGCAGCATGACAAGGCTTCTCAGCAAACTGATAAACTTCACACACAGCTTACTACCACACTTACACACTCATACCAGCAGACAAACTAACACAGCAGGTCTGATGTGTACCTACCCACATATATTCAGGGTAGTCTTTGAGCCTGCTCAGTCCTTTGAAGACAGTCTTTCGATCCTCCTCCCACTTTCTTTTACAGAAGACTATTTCTAGGAAGTACCAGGTCCACCCGATCAGAGGGACCTTCAGTAGCTCGTGTTTGGCTAGCACTTTTGAACTCTAGAGGGGGAAGACAGGTTTATGAGATGAAGCTTGGATAACTTGCAGTCAGGTTTGAAGTCCAACTATGAACTGAACGACTATGAAGTACTAACTAATAACTAATTCAATTCATCTTTGCAACATTACTGACCCCTAGGACGCCGAATCTTTCACACATGGTCCAGCCACACAGGAAGTCGATCTCATAGTTGTGGTTGAGGATGGTGATGACATGCTCTGTACCAAACTTGTCCACCGTAGCTTGGTCGGTGTATAGGGTGCATTCTGTGCCCGACCACCACTCCAGCAGCATTACCAGCTCTGCACAGAGACGACAACACATCATGGGTGCTCGAAATGTACTGACAACGATTCATCTTTCATAGTATTGACTGTAAGAACTACTTAAAGTACCAACTCAGGACATTTTCCTCTAAATACATGCTTGGTTTGTTCCTCAGTTTTGCTGATTAATATGACAGTGATTAATGACACAAATTAGTTGTCTGCAGGATAGTAGCTGAATGGAGCTATTTTGGTGTAAATGTATTGTCTGTTTGAGCCTCAGCTGCTCTCATTAACCAACACAGGGCACCTACCTGCCAACACAGTGGACAGATAAAGTTAGCGGGTGCCTGGACATATTGTGGAAGATGTAGCAGCTACAGACTCAGATTTACCACCGAGCTAAACTGAACTGAATAACCAACGTACACTCCCAGCCAGTGTGATGACACAGTACCTGGTGCCTTTTCTTGTTTACTTTTTCTGAACTATGAAATTGGTGCATGCATTACATAAAAATATAATGTATAGCAACAACATATCATGTACTCACGACTCCAGAGGGAGTAAGAGAGCCGGCAGTTGATTCTGCGATAGAGCTGCTTGTTGATCGGCCAGAGGATGCAGGTGCAGAGCTGAATGAAGTTTATGATGAGGCCACTCACCACGAACACAAAGCCCATCAGCAGCTGCAGGATGAACAGGCTCTTCAGGTAGGCCAGCAGAGCCATGGCTGAGGAGCCTGGAGAGCAGAGTAGGCTCCTCTCTATACACTACGACCAACCTGAGAGAGGGTGCAAACAGAGGAGGCGGTGCCACAGCAATGAAAACAACTTTACTGAGAGATGGGGGCAAAAAAGAGCATGAGGGAGGGGAGGGTGGCAAACAATTAGACATTGATGGGAATAGTGCGGTCAAAAGGATGTGCCCTTTAAGGCTGTTGTTCTGCGGGCAAAGATGATTTTAGAAATTCAAAAACAGCAGTGTTTCTTACCACGGTGGGATCCTTTTACAAGCCGCGTTTACACGGTCCTTCAGCCAATACTACTGACCTGATGGAGACAGAACAACACAGGTTGTAGTAGAATTCAATAAAGGCCTTGTTTGATTGTGTTAGCTAATGGCAAGAGAACGTTAGAAATAGCCCCTATCCTTAACATTACCAGGAAGACAGATGCTGGGTCAAACTGTACCACACGCCTTGGTAAATAAATAATGTGCCATTACAGCTGTGATTATTACACACTGGTTCAACAAAGAGCATGGTGATTTTTTTGTGGCTATCCTCCCTGTGACCTGAGCCTGAACTTTCACAAAGGCTATGAGATGGAAGACATTTTACACAGAACCACAACACCACATGAATGCAGGCAGTTTCATTTCAATAGACTATACATCTTTTAAAAGGCAGAGTGCAATAATGCGGGACGACCACCGCTCCACACAGCTCAATCTTGGCAAAAGGTGCTGGAAATATCAATGAGTCCAAGCTGATAGAAAAGATTTCTGCACCCTTGAATCTATGCAGTGTTTCACTTTAAAGACTGCATAGATTTAAGTGTATAGAAATTTTCTCTCTCAGCTAAAATGTAGAGCACACAAAGGCTCAGCTAGATCATCTTCAGGGTTTTTATTCCATAGTCCTAATAAAAACTACTAATTCTTGTGATGTTCCATTGTGTTAATAATAGAGCGCAACTCGTGCTGCATGTTTCCGTCTGAATCCAACCCGAGTCCAAGAAAGCAGTAGCTGAGCACAACCTGAACTCGACAGGCATTCTGTTTTTCTTATGTCTGAACCTGACGCAGTTAGTGTAATGCAAACACTCCAGTGCTGCTACGGAAACACACAGGCGACCCTCTTTACACTGCCATGTCCATATCCTTGTGTCACTCTGACAACAAACCAAAAGGTGATCAAGTGCGGAGGAATAAATTAACTGGGAAGCAAATCATGACGCATCATGTCAAGTAGGCTGAACCCAGACTCAACCCAGACATCATTTGCAAGTATTTGTCTGAACCCTTGCTGGCCTGTCAGGTCCTATTGCGCCCAGGTTGGATATACACACACTATTAACACAGCTGCCGTAATACACAGGGTGGGTACCATGGGCAATCAAGTCATTTTTTAAGTGATTGGTTATCAGTTATGTGAAGCCTGATCCATTTCTGATGGCTCCAGCTTCAAAAATGTAAGAACTTTCTGTCTATTTCTGTTTTATATTATCGTAAATTGAGCATATTTCAGACTGTTGATCAGACATAAGAATAAACTGATGACACAAATGATCACTAGCAGGCATAACACATCATACTCCACTGATGATGCTGCCCACCATGACAGACCTGTTGCCACTTTAGAGTTTAGGGCTCAGTCTGTTGCTTGTGCGAGTTTCATTTGGGTGCTCCACGTTCCTCCAACATGTCAACAAAACACTTACCTCAGGAAACATTTCAGTGCCCCTAGGTAAGGATGTGACTTTGTTTGTCTGACAATTAACACTGCAGCAGACTGGGGACATATCCAGGATGTTTCAGTGTTTGTACAAAGCATGCTGGAAAGGTTCCATCCCTCCACAATGCTGAATAAAAATAAGCAGGTTTAGAGAATAAAGGGTAGGGAAAAGAGGGCTCTTTATTATGCAGGAACCTGCTGCGTGTTTATACAGCTTGCATGCTCTCCAGGTAAGGTCAGGTGCTCATTATATGTTAGAGAACATCTCACAGTACACGATGTACTGGCCAGAGACTTGTTTAATCAGTCCTCATACCAATGTTCACAAAAATCTCAAGAATTTTTATTCAAAAGTTACTATCAATGAGCTCCCACCGGCATGATAACAGGCTGTCTGGCCTTGAATGGTCCGTTCCCACATCTGCACCAAAGCCCATTAAAGTGTAGGTCAAGCCAGTTTAAAGCTGTTCTTAGAAACATTTCTAATCTGACTGAGTTGTCCTGCTGCAGGTCTGTGCGGCTATCTGCGGGCACTCAATCCACTTCAGCACTGTCACCTGCCTTGTTTTACACTTTATTTCTCTTTTTAATGACATCTTTGTTTACATGAAAACAGTGTCTTCTCCATACGCACAAGATGTATAAAACAAAGCTCCAATCTGAAAATGGGCACTTGATTTGATTCACTACAACATGCCCTTTCAAAGCAAAGCATCAATACTGCAGTTAGAAAAAGATAAACTCATTGCCAAAGGCAGCGTTGTGTTTTATTATACGATTAACTCTGCAGTGCTAGCAACATGAACATATGTACAGTCACCTGCATTCACTGATACAACTGTGTCAGCAAACCCAGCAAAAAAGAGGCTCTCTGGTGTTTGCTTTTCAGAACAACAGCCTGCATGCTAGACAACAAGGGACAGACAGAAACACTGTGTGCCTGCGTGTCACACTGACATAACGGTCTCCAACCACAGACAGAGTCTTGTTCACACAGCATGTGTAATGACTACTTTATTTGTTGCTTCAGTTATTATCTTACATGTTTTTTTTCCACAAGTGCAACTAGATAAAACAAACAGAAATGGATGGCAGAGAGAAGATCCCTAAAACAATCAAAAGCATTTTTAAAATCATTTTTAAAAATCCTCTAAATAAAGATGACCAGAAATCCAAGACACTTAAGTTTCAAGCAATCCAAATAGATTTACTGCCATCTTTTACCTCAAGTCTGCATCATATTTGTTGATCTCAGGAAAGAGAGAGAGAGGGGAAAGAGCAACCCCAAATGAAGCCGCATATTTGACACGAGGCCAGTTCATTGTGGGCCACTAATGAAGGCAACTCGTCTTATCTGGTGCAATCAATCCCTCTCAAACACTGTAACACAACACACAGAATAACAAATTGGCCTGGGTGTGAAGGAAATGAAATCTTGCATGCCCATCCACAGAACTTCAGTTCAGTCTCTTGGGCAAACGCTAATGCTTCTACGTAACTGATTCTAAATCTTTATGGTTAGGACACAATAAAGTGTTGAAAAACTGTCACGTGTGCATGTACGTCATCATCGCCTGATGGGTTTGATTATCAGTCCACACACCAACGGTTGTCTCTGCATTGTGTTACAGATGTGACCTCTGTTCCGACTGGGAGAGAGTGACTTGGAGAGGTAGAGTTACACTATTGCACATTTCGCTTGTGGCTCCTGTAACATATTTTGAGAGGCTGGCGAGCTACAACACTGAAGAACCAGAGAGGACAATGTGTAGTAAATACAAAGTGCAACAACTTGCACATGTGATTCTATTTTAGTCAGCTCGATGATGATAAGAGGAGAAGTAAATGTGCTATGGACAATAAAAATGAAAGCCTAGAATGGGCAGTGGGGGAAATGTTTCTCAAGTTCCTCAAAAGTTACCCGACCTGTTCGTCTGTTTTAAATAACACTGCTCCTTAAAAAACTGACTACAGTACAATCTACTGTATAGGCTTACTACACTGCAAAAAGACAGACCTTTGTCCAATAATGTGAGAATAATTTGAGAATCAGAAGGGAAATCTTCAGAAACCTCCTCCCCTACAACTTCAAACAGTCAAACTTACAATACTGTATTTCTGAAGTGGTTAACAAATATTCTGGTGAAAATTACTGGTAAATTTTAAAGTTATTAAATTGTTGTCCCACAGATGATACTGTAGGCTACTGTTTAGCTCCCATTTTCAATTGAGTTTGATTCATTTTGAGTGACAGCAAGAGCAACCTGTGGCAGTTTGATCAAGTTACTTAGGCCACTTATCACAATTCATCTATATTATGTTTAAGATAAGATATACTTCTTTATCTCTAAGTGGAAAGTTTGTTTGGGCAAGCACAGCTGTAATCAACTTAAAACAACACGAGACAGTACAGTATAAAATATTGCACACTTCTAGTGTAGTAACATAAATACATACCGGTAGGGCTTTTTAAAAATGAAGATCACAAAAACCCTAAAACCACGATATATAATGCGGAAAACTGAGTCCAACAGTGTCTCCTTGCTTATGAACCACCTAAGTAAGGATTAACCTGTTTTCTTGAGTAGTGCTGTAGACGTGGGGAAGAAAAAAATGTTGGGACTGTGTGACGTCTACCTGAAGGTATAGTTGGTATTCACAATACAGACTGTGTGACAGGTCCTTAACAGTTCTGTGAGCATGTTATTTTTACTGCCATTTTCACTAGGTTGTCAATTCTTGATTGTAACTGGACTGCCGCACCATGATGTCATACCATATCTTATGATGCTTTCCAGCACAGCGTTGTAGAATATTAAAATGATCTCAGTTCCGACAGTCTGCGGAGAACGTGAAATTTAGTCGTTTGCCCAATTACTCATAGGAGCACACCTGCTCAAGTTCACTGTCACCAATGATTACAGGGTCATGGACTTTCACCTCACTAGGGTCAAATATAATTCAATATTATGTTGTATGCATTTATTAAATGTAGGAATTCAATCTCGGAATATTCACCAATTTGAAAGAACAAATAATTGCCTCAAGCTCAGTAACATAGTACTTTGGGTGGTATTTTTAGGACTGAACTTATTCATTTATTTTTCGCTTCACTATCAGCCACTGGTATAAATTCCTGCCAGTAACGTATGAAAATAAACTTGTGGAAACTTGAAACTTGTTAGAGAAAACATTCAACTTTCAGTCTGTGTTGTTTGGTTACAAGCAGCCAATAGAGGAGCTGCCCAGCCAACCTTTGCTGTGGAAACAGGCAGTAACTCTAAGTGAGAGATCAGACAAACAGATTTCCAAACATACCATGAACTTTGCTCTCATTTTTTCCTCCACATTCTCCTCTTTCTGCCTCTGTACATCCATGGAGTCATGCAACAACCACAAATTTTCACTCAAGTTGAAATGGAGGCCTTGAGTCACAGAGTCTTGGGGAAAGACCATCTTATCATCAGCTTTGTGTGCATTCATGCTTCCTCCAAAAACAACTTCACTTTGCAAAATGCAACGAATTAGCAGCACTCAACATATCTGCTTTGAAATAAATCGCCAGTCAAGGTCTCAAGAGAATGTTATTCTGACCAAGTTAATTTTTTTTTCTTTATCTTCATGACTGCATTCTTATAATTATCGTTCATTGTTCAATTTTATTGTAATGAGGATAAATAGCTGCTGGAAAACAAAAAAAGTATATAGATTTCAGGACTGCCCCCTAAAAATCGGGTCCATGTCATTGGTTCGACAGCCCATTGGTTCGACATCCCATTAGTCCGACTGTCCGCAGTGCTGAACGGCTTGCGGCGGGCGTATGGTGCGCCGCGACTGGCTTGAGGCGAAGCAGGCTCACGGCTTATGTGTTTGTCACTTTCTTTTTCATTTTAACCCACACCATGATCTTTTCCTGACCCTAACCAAGTGGTTTTTGTGTCTAAACCTAAGCAGACCTTAACCACAGGGCATCATGATGATTTCGGAACGGACTTCGGAACAATGAGTTTAATATGGTTAGAACAATGGGATGTCGAACCAATGGGCAGTCGAACCAATGGGCAGTTCCCTAAAAATCAACGATTCGAGTCATCAGTAGAGACCCAAAGTCGACACGCATTTTGTTGGTCGAAACACTGCTTTAGCTGCTTCACTGAACACAGAGCAATTCAGGAGCAGCAACATGGCAGGCTGCAAACAAACCAAGTCTCATCTCAAAATGACCAAGCCAGAAAAATGTGTTGGTAGAAGAGAAGGGTAAAATAAACCGGAAGCAGTATGGAAGTGGACAGTGCAAAGCAGGGCAGCATGACTCACGTTTGCTGGTCACACAGACACTCTGAGCTCTGGTGCTGACTGTCAGTGAAGTTGTGTAAATTACTTTTGCACCACATGCCGGTAAAACTTCCTCTACTGCCGTCCAGCATGACTGAGTGTTTGGCTGACAGCACCGTCAGCAGCCAAGCAGGAGAGACACTCCGGGTAGCGTCTTTTAAGAGAGTCTACTATTCTACAAGAAATCTATGAAACTGATGAACCTGACAGTTTCTGCAAACTTTAATGCTTAGATGAACAAACAAAAAAATCCAATTGTCATAGCTAGTCTTTCAGTTCAGTTTTGTTAAAAGTACTGAGAGTTTATTGGACTGTTCACCCTGTATTTTGAATCAGTCTGATTCCTGAGCTGAATGTATTTGAGGCTAGGGGCGTATACTGTGTACACCATCAATGTTAACATTTGATTTCCCTTTACACATCTTAACCCTTCAAGTATCTTAACTATACTATGGATACTAGGCATTTAGGCTGACATTAAGTTATTATATGTAATAAGTATCCCTTAAATTTGGTTATCAAACAGTTAAACCAAGTACTTTGTGGAACAGTAGAATAAAAAATTGTAAGTGCTCCCTAGTGAACAAACTATTTATGGGCGACACAATTTCTAAATTATCTTTGACATTTCTGTACACAAATTTCTTTTTACTTATTGCTGGACGTATACCCTGATACTGAGTTCACTGCAATAAGAAAATATTGGCCGATAATGGCAGCTTGCTCTTCCAAGATTGTGCAATAGGTCATATAAAGCATTACAAAAAGCTATTTTCTGGATTATAACGTTTTTCTTTTCTTTTCTTTTTTTTTTTTTTTTACACAATATATTGACTACTACAGTGTAATTATACAAACATATAAATGCCAATGTAAATGTTGCTCTACATCTGAGGTCAACAGATAAACAACTGTGTTGCTCAGCCAAAGTGTAATTGATTAGATCAGTGCTCCATTTTGGCTATACAGGTTAGGAGTGTAGTTAGGAGTAGAGAGTGAAACTCCATTTTGAAAAAAAAAAGTTCACCCTCTCTCTAGGCCCACTCAGAATACCACCACTACTGTGCATAAAACAACACAATAACCTTGTCACATCATCGCGCTAATCAAACAAATCAACCTTTTTTCCCTGCAGTGAGGTGGTTTAACAAAACTCCAGGTGCCTCTTTTTAAGACTGTTGTCATGAATTGTGGTTTCAATAACCTCATATAACAAAGACTGAATAAAAGGCGTTCACAGAAACAAACATTGGGTTGGACCATGAAAACAACCAGTGCAGGTCCACTTCCCTGTGGGTGCAGGCCCACCTGCAACCACACGAAGATTAGAGATGCTGACTGGGTTAAAGCTGCTTAAGGCTGGACAGCTGCTTTTGCTCTACATCACCTGAATATAGCCTCTATGCCAACAAATAACCACTGCTTTCTATGCGTCTCTGATGAGAAAGGAGTTTTGAAATGTACATACAGAGACACCAGCTACATACAGGCAAACTTCAGTGACATCCTGGAAGGTACCTTTGTCAAGTCATTTTAATACTAAAAACTTCATTTGGCTTGCAAAGTCTGCACTTTACTTACCACTGAGAACAGCTGAGCCCCGAAGTGCTTTGCTCTATTCTACCTTGTTTTCAAGATCTAATAAATATGGTCGGGCCCATCCTTTCCCAGGCAAACCACCTCTCTCGCTTTTAACTTACCAGTATACATAGTAGGCCATTGCCATCAGCACCAATGCCCCACAAATCCCAGTGAAGATCATCACAGCACTCTGGTTCAGCATTTTGGCTCCTGGTATCTCACCAAATCAAAGCCAAAAAAAAAAAATATATATATATATACACAAAGAAAAGTCCTGCTGAGAGCAGTGGATAGTCACAGGCTGTCCTGCCTCATCGCCATGATAATCTCACAGAAGGAAAGAGGGAGATTATGTTGATGACAGCAAGAACACAGCCAGATCCCAGATCCTGTTGGAAGAGCTGACTAATCAGCACAAGCGTTTACTGAGGAGCAGAGAATTTCATATCACCAGCAAAAATTATCAATAAGAATAGATCTTCATTAGGAGCAAGTGCAAAAAGGAGCACCATAAACTCCCACAGGCCACCGTAGATTCTTACTAGAGTCCGCTAACGAATGCTAGAAAGACTGAAAGATGGCTCACTGCTGGAAGGAGGGAAGCACACATGTACTGTAAGCAGTGTTTTACATGCATTCCCATTCGCTAATCCAATGGATCAGATTAAGGCTGATTAGCAGGCTATGGGCACCCTGGATATGTCACATTTCATTACCATTAACAAAGAAGAAAGCTGGGCTCTCCCCAACCAGGGTGGAGTTAGCAGAAGGGCATGTGTTACGCCGAAGGAATCAATCATAATGTACAATTTCTTGCTTCACCTTGCCACTGGCTACCTGTTAGTAACACCTAGCATTAAGCAGAAATGACAACATCAAGGAGAGGAGCAACAGTTTCCTTAAACAATCTCTTCATGTGTGTTGCCAAACTGTGCTTCGTTTCTCTACAGTCAAGCGTAATTAGAGATGAATTAACTCAAAGCCTGGACATCAGTGATGTTTATCCCACATCCTTGCTCTCTCTTTCTTCTTGACAGTATCTCGGGTACCTAAAAATATATACAACAGATCTGTAATGCTCAGCCACAGAGAGAAGGCAAACAGAGCTTGTGGGGAAGCCAACAAAAGCCTTTGGGTTCCCACACAGAGCTAATGTCAATGTGGTTCAGACATGCTGGCAGAGATGATTCAGAAATAAACTCCAGCGTTTACTGAAGCAAATAGGTCAAAGGTTACAGAACAGTCCGGAGGCCTTGCCACTGGCCGTTAAAGCCAAATATAAATAGAGATAAAAATACATTGTGATAGCTTGACAATGAAGGTCATTCATGTTTCAAAGTATGAAGCGCTCCAAAAACTGCAGATAGCACCACTGCTGAACTCTAACAATAGCATCTACAGTTATACAGTTGGTTGTTAAGCCAAGTGTGACATTTTAGAGCCACACCGCTTGCTACCACTACGGCTAAAAGTCACTCTCTTGCTGTTCTCTTGCCAGGTAAAACAACACTGAAAGTGCGTCCAGTTCTTTTGATTATGAACACATGCACACATGGGCCAGAGAGCAAAAAACTAACATGGAGGATGATTCAATTTCAATTCAATTCAATTTTATTTATAAAGCCCAATATCACAAATCACAATTTGCCTCACAGGGCTTTACAGCATACGACATCCCTCTGTCCTTAGGACGATGATGATACACCAATCGCAATATCACCTACACTTGGCTAGGTTTCAAGTTTTGCCAGTATTTCACAGTTTAAGATAAACCAAAATGTACAACTTTGGGCTGGGCTATATGGAGAAAAACAAACAAATATTTTTGACTAAATACCTTGACACTGATATTGCGATGATATTGAAATTTTGGTAATCTTCAGTAATGTTAATATTAGGGGAGTAACGACACCAGTCTAGATCTACGTATATATCCCTTGAATTATATACAATTCCAATATCATCAGTGCAAAGAGAAAACATCAATACATATAATTTTTAAACAGTGCTAGCACCCTGGTGCCGGGCAGATAATAGTAGGCAGCCAAGAAGAAGACAATGAGGACATTTACTGATACCATCTCATATCGATCACAGGCCCCTTGAATTTAATCTACTCAAAATATTGTGGCAGACTTTGTGCTGTCAGCAAATATCATATTGTCATCCAGAGAATCAATATAATACTGTGTCGTGATGAAACTTGTGATTTACTCCCTGAGTGAATATAATGACCAAGTGGGTAAAGGCAAATAATAAAACAGCTACAACAGTCTGGTAAGTTGAGAAAATTATATTACTTTACTGTAATGCAGCCTTTAAAACCAGGAAAAAGACACTTACAGTATTATGATATATAAAATCTAAGATGATATCTAGTGTCATATCATTATATTGATGTATTGCCCAGCCCTAGTATAGCATTATCATAATGACTTTTGACTACTTAATCATTCAAGATATTAGCCTTTCAGCAAAGCAAACTGCATTCATGAGCATGCTCAGTGATGTCAAAGCTACTCTCCAGATAGAAAAAAAAATCCAGCTGCAGTGTTGTTTCAAATTAATTTCAAAACAATGGGATCTGATATTGACGAAACCTTGAAAACTACTCAAACATTCCATGAAAAGCCTCAATAGAAGGGTATCTCAGAGAGGACAGACAGTATTTAACAAATAAGGTAAAGAGCTGGCTAACACAGCATGGCCTTGCATCACTTAACTCGGTTAAAACCCTTTCAAAGGTCCCTCCAGGCACTGGATGTAGCCCTCGTAAGAAGCGATGACTGATAAGACTCAAGGATACATAAGGTAGCTCTTGCTGTAGTCAGCAAAATAATGGGACTAATGGAAAAGGGGGGAGGGGGAACTAATGGGTAAAACTGACTGCCTGAGTATGAACACAATAAGTTGAGTATGATGGTTCAAAGTAACTTTGCCGTTAACCAGACAGTCACATAAACGATTACGAGTAGGGATAGACCGATATGGATTTTTTAGGGCCGATGCCGATACTGATTTTTTTCCATCACCCTTAGCCGATGACCGATTATGGACTGCCGATTTTCTTGAGCCAATATTTGGGGCCGATACTGCTTTTGCTCCCTCAATTTACATTAAAAAAATGACACAATGATAACAAATATTACAGGTCTCAAGTTTAAAATAAGAAACATTTATTGAACAGTAAAAAATACTAAAACAAGATGGAAAGTTGAGGTAGAACAGGTAGAATATTATTATTATACATTCAAATAAAAAAAAAGAGTTCAGTGCTCTTAAATCTTCCAGTAATGTCTTTATAAAATAAACAAATATTTAAGCTGAAGCATAAATAAAACAACAACTACTGTACACAGTAGGATTCGCTGCATGTGCGCTGCAGGGTCTTACGGCAACACAGAGCTGCCCGTGGATGCCTGTCTGTAGATCATGCCAGGGAAAAATAAATCCGCGAACCCACGCGCGTATCGGCTGATGCTGATACAAGTAAAAAACTCAAATATCGGCCCAATATATCGGCCGGCCGATGTATCGGTCTATCCTTAATTACGAGGTCAGTAAAACTATACATTCCTAGGGCGGGATTACCGTCCAACATGGCACTGCTCAGATAAAGGCTTATCTGCATGGGTATGCCTCAGAGTCCTATAGGGCAATACTTGATTAGCTGATAAAGAGTTCAATAGGTCACTATGTGCAAACAGTCATGTCACTGGACTTTGAACAAACAGTTTATTCAACAAGTGTATTTTTATGATATGTATGACTTTTGTGGTAGATGCTTAAATTTGGCCACCATTGTAACACACGCATGTCTTATTATAGAATACATGATGTCTGTTTGCACTTAGGTTTATGTGGCCAATGCTGTGTGAGACACTGTAATTAGGGCTGCAACTAACGATTATTTTCATTGTCAACTAATCTGTCGATTTCTTCGATTAGTCAACTGATCATTTTATCGAAAAATGTGTTAAAATGTTGAAAAATGTCGGCTGTCTCTCCCAAACCCAAAAATTATGTAATTTAATGTCTTGTTTCATACTCACGCCAAAGGGTTTCAGTTCACCATCATGGGAGAGTGTGTAAAGCTGCCAATAATTGAACGTAAGAAGCTCCAATAAGAGTATTCTGGGGTATTTTTATAGTATTTTTCTATGACTCAAACCGATTAGTTGACTACTAAAATAGTCACCGATTATTTTAATAGTCGATTAGTCATCGATTAGTCGACTAATCGTTGCAGCCTTAATTGTAATAAGTAAGACGCTTAAACCCCCCAACAGAGGCTTTTAAAATGCTGTGGACTCTAAAGGGATTATTAAAAGAAAAAAACTGACTGATTATTCTTAAGGAGAAACTGAGCAAGTAACAAAGACATGGTTATGAACATTTAGAGAGTAAATAGTTGATGATCTCTTGTTGGCCAGCAAGATTCAGTTTCCTGATTCATTGTACATTATAGTCATAATTACTGTTTGCTACACGCTTTACCTGATTAATGAGAGATTACAAGACCCTGTGATCAGCAGGATGAAATCGTGATTACCCCAATACTGAAAAGATAAGACAGTCAAGTGGTAATTCTCTCTACAGAAAATTACCAGATTGCAATTTAGATAAGTGGCTATTTGTTATAGCCATTTATCAGATTACTTGAAATGATAGACACTTAACATATAATTTATAACAATAATCATGAATCAGTGGCATAGCCCAGCACAGCAGTCTACACATCTCCCTGTCAAGGTTTACTGCATGCAGGCACACCTAACAAGAATATCAGTGTGAAGCCATTGAGTCAATATACATATTCCCATTAAATATTCATTATTGTCTATCTGTCTGTCAAGTCAAACACTCTGTCAATGGACTACCCTCATAAGGCTGTAGTATAACTTAACTACGTGGACAACACAGCTGCCTCTTGCACAAAGCATCAACACTCAGAGCGTTACTGTGATCACACCAGTAAACATGAAAACACAGATAGCTACAACTGCCAGGAACGATCAGGGTAACAACACTTGCCTGTCACGCTCGCACTTCTCGCCTCGTTGGGTAAAATTAAAAGGCAGCCTAAAGTTGGCCCTGGCTAATAGAGCCGCAGACTTAAATGAACTCCAGCAACCTTTCGTCTGGTGTGTGGTACGACATCGTTACGCAGGTCAACTCGGAGCCAGCTGCCTCACATGACGTTACAGCGGGGGCACAGGCGGCTCGCAGTGTAGCGGCGTTTTAAATGAACCCAGTGACATTTTGCCATCCAACTCTGGCATGCTACACTGTGTTGCTACTTCAGTATGCAACGCTACCCTGCTTAGCTCTGCAGCTCCATGTTCTCCCGAATCAAACTGGACTGCTGTGTGCATTAGTGCGGCATGGCTAGCTTCATGCTAAATAACGAACTAGCCAGTATGTCCACTGAGCTTATCATCTGACACACGTCTTGACTGCGGCCGCAAGTTAAGCTAGGTGTGCGGTGGGCTCAAAGTTGCAAACACATCATTCCACATCTTAACGTGACAAATTAAAATTACCCTTCCTGCCCT